AATGAAAGGGTAGGACTAGAAAATCTCTGAGTTTTATTCCATCTTAAAACATTTCTATCACTCTAAGCTTCTTAAAAGACTAGAGTGCATTATAAGGTATTTCTAAAGACAACTTGATGTTGATACAAGCTGAAAAGGACCCTTCAATGCATGTCATGCTTACATAGTTCTAGAGTGTATCTTTTGCTATTGTAAAGAAAAGAATCCAGTATTTACACAATAATTGATCCATGAATGTCAACAAGAAGCAAATACCCCCTCTGTACTCCTCAGATCTTAATCTAGGAACTCCAACTAATATTAAGCCTCATCGACTACTCAAAAAACTCTATCTTGGATTGCCTCTCAAACTGTGCTTTTCAGAGGCATATTTGTAATATGTATGTATGTATGTATGTATATAGATAGCTATAAATACAAATATTCAAAACAATGTGTTAAACCTAATGATGGAACACTTAACTATAGGGGAGGGAGGCAGTCTATACTACTTTTCCAATTCGCTGTTAAATATCTCTGTGGATTTACTGCTATTAAAAATCATATCTGTAAGGGGTATGCAGCAGCATAACTGAAATTGTTGTTTCAGGCTGCTGGAATACCAAATGCTTATCTGACATGAAGAAATCATCTGGACTTAAAAGGAGTCAGGCAAACAGAAAGTTAAATGTTGCGATGGCTGGTGAACAGCAATCCACCAAATACAACCTCAATGTGTCTTTTATTTCATTGTGACTACAGTAATTTCTGTACTTTAAGGGCTCTTAATTAAAAGAATGAATACATCAGGAAAATTGTTGGGTTATCTTGTCACGGTAAATTTTTGTGCATATAAATATCCATATGTGTATCTATATATAGCTAGATTTATAAACACAATATGCATATATATATATATATATATATATATATATATATATATATATATATATAAACATTTACATACACATAGGGCAAAGGGGAGAAAACACAAGGTGAACTAACAAAGGAATTGAACAAAGTCTCATTTTCTAATACAGGTTGACAAACTCCTTGGCCCATGGGCCAAAAATCCAGCCCACTGCCTCTTTTTATATGGCCCACATACAAAAATAATACTTTCATTCTTAGCTTGCGGGCCCATACAAAAACAGATGGTAGAACAGATTTAGCCTATGGGCCATAGTTTGCCAACTTCAGATCTACAATGCCAAGTCCTGTGAGACTGTCTAGGCCTAGACAGACATCTATACACACAAACATACACACACATACACACATACACTTTATATTGGTCTGGACCAGTCATTCTCTTCAGTGATAAGATTAGCAACTCACCTGTAATTTAACAGCTTAGATTATATAATAGGGCCAATAAAACTTTAACTGTTATGATGTTTACCATAATGCCTGATCTCTGTAGTTACATCTGTCTTTTTTATATTATGTGTATAAGAATATGGTTTCACTTTTGAACAATTTTATAAATAAAAGTGCTATCCTTTCTCACTCTGAGAAATGCAAATTAATTGCATCTATAGAATATTCACAAGCATAAAAATACTAATGAGTAGGACCTTGTTAATGCTCTTTTTGTTTTAGTTTATGCTCCAGCATTCATATTTAGAATCCTAAAGGAAAAGCCCAAAAGCACCTGAGTGATTTCTCACTTGACAGAATAACCCAAGGCTATTCTCCCGGAACTTGCCACATGATTGGTATAAATCTTCTAAGTGTTAACACTCTCTTGCTTTCTGCTTTCATCCCTATAACCAGCCAAGAAGTTCTCCCCACTTTTCCCAATAATAACCTCATGGATAAAGTGTCTGTCTGGGCCCTGTCATCATAGATAAGGCCCTTCACACTCCTCCATTAGCTAACCTTAAATAAAACAAGGAATATTCTAATTTCATACTGTCATCCACCTCAACCATTTACTGTAGGCAAAGATCCTGAAGTATAGATCTGAAGGCAGCAATAGCAGACAACACTTTACTCCTCACCAATCACTGTACTGGAAGCAAAAACAAAAGGAGGGCACCTCTCTGACATATGTCAAAGAAGGGGCTTTTCCTGTACAAAAAGAGAAAGCTGAGAAACCATCTTTGGACTGACCATCGACCCCATTTAGGGAACTGCCATATCATCACCAATTCTGGATGCCAATTTGGAAGCCCACAGCATTCCACTCCCATCTCCAGCCAGCTGTAAAAAATAGCTGTCAATAAATCTCTTTTTGACATATAAATCTTATGCATAGGTTTCCTCTTCTCTCTCCAGAGTGTGAGTTCAAGGTTACCACACAGTCACCCAACTGGAGAGACATTTGTCATCAAATGAAGGAATGGAAACAGGTAAAAAAAATTGAACACTTCTACTCCTTTTTAATCTTTTTGAACTCAGGGAGCCCTTCTTCTGCTGGCTGCAGTGAGTAGCCCTAATTTAGATGAGGAGATTGAGGCCTGAAGAGATGGCCCAAATGACTTACCTAAGCTCACATAGATAGTGGATTGCAAAAGCCGAGATTTAAACCAAGATCGTCTGACTCCAGAGCCAAAGTTCTCCCTACTATATCGTGCTGCCTTCCTGGGGTAAGGAAAAACTTTCTAAAAGAGGAAGCAGGAGGTTGCTCCTCACTGGGGATCTTCAAGCAAAGGCTTTATGACCACTTGTCATGTATAAAGCATAGGTTGGACTAAATGGCCTCCGTGATCTCTTTCAGCCCTGAATTTCCATGATCTTGAGAGTTTTCTGGGACTCTCAAAGGTGAGTGACTTGTCCATGACCACATAGGGAGTATGTGTCAGAGGCAGGATTTGAATTCCAGAATTCCTAACTTTGTATGCAACCCTTTATCCACTGTCCCAAGCCTCTCATGCTTATATGTACACAATATACCAACATAGGGTATACATATATGTAAACACACATGCAGATATTCATAGCAGTAAACAGATCATGTGTACACTTGTAAACATTCAGTCATGTGTGCATAACTATAAACATGTGCATAATGCCTCCGTATATATCCATACATGACAACAGCAGCCGCCGAAAAGATCTTGGTATCTGTCTCCAAGTTATTTTTTTTAATATTTGCAAAATCATGACATCTTTCTGCAAGATTTAAAAAGAAAAATAAAAGGGGTTTGCAATTATCTGAAGCATAACCACCTTAGGCAAAACACTTTAGCCTTCTTGGCTTCAGTTTCCTCTTCTGTCCAAAGAGGGGACTGAAGTAGATGAGCTCAGGGATCTCTTCCAGCTCTAAGTATAGGAACTGATAAACTATGTTCTGATATCCTATGGATAATGACGAAATGTGTCTGACACATCAAATTTGAAGTCGGAAAGATCTGGGTTTAAACCCTACTTGACACTACCTATGCAACCCTGAGCAGATCACCTAACCTCTCTAAGCCTCAGTTGTTTTTATCTGCAAAATGAGAATAGTAGTAGCAGCTGTCTCACAAGGTTGTTGTAAGGTTCAAATGAGATAATTCACATAAAACAGTTTGAAAACACATAAATGTCAGTTATTAAATGTAAATCTTTGAAAAGGGATGTTTTTAAGGCAAAAGGTCTTTTCATTTCATAAAAAAAGTTGGAAAAAATAAGTCAAAGTTCTAGCACCTAACACAGTGCTTTGTCCCCAGTAGATGCTTGCTATCCATATTTGCAGATTTGATTGAACTTCCTCCAATACTTTCTAGAAATTGGTCAGGCTTTAAAAATGGCTAGCCTAGAACTCTAAGAGACAAAAGTGTCTGAATGAAGGATTGATGGCAAAAAAAAAAAAAGTTGACTGACTTCTCAAAGTTAACATAATGATTCACTGACACACCAGCCAGTCCTGGAGCAAGGTTAATTTTCTTTTCCCCTTGTGGCTCTTTTTTTCTTCCCTTTTTGGTTCTTACCCCATTGTATGGTTATATCAGAAATCAGAGGTTGATGCAATGAGTCCAGAACCACACCAGTTCCTAATAACAAAATCACAAGGTATTCCACTAAGTCACGGGAAGGTAGGGACTAGCTGGAGACAGTATAGTATAGCAAAGAGAGAGTCAGCCTTAGAGAAAGGAAGACCTGAACTCAAGCCCAGCCTTTGACACATACTACCTCTACCTGGGTGACCACAATCACATCCCTTACCCTCTCAGTCCTCAGGTAACTCTCTAAAACTAAGTTATAGGTAAGTTGCTAAAGGGTATGAAAGTGGAGGGAGTTCCCTCAACAAAGAAGTTTCTTTCGCCAATGAAAGCACAGATCCAGTCAACCAAAAAGCATTTTTAAGTGCTTACTATGAGCCAGTCTAAACCAAAAAGGACTACATGGAAGTCAGTGTGGCTGAGGGGAAAGGCCAGTGGATTGGGAGTCATAGACATTGGATTCAAATTTCAACCCTGACACTTATTCCCTATGGGCAAGCATTTTTCCAGTTTCTTGGACTTAGTTTCCTCATCTGCCAAATGAAAGGGGTGGGTGGACAAGAAGGCCTTCAAGGGCCCTTCTTGCCCTAAACCTATGATCTTATCAGGTAAGAGTTGGAGTTCATAGGTCACCTTTGAGGTCCATTTTGATGCTAAGATTCCAGGATTTCATGACTCCATTTAAAGGTGTCCATCTACCCTGGCCATTCTTTTAAATGGCTCACACCTGCTTCTCTGAGAATATATCATTTTTTTTCCACTTAAGATGTCAGTACTAAGACATAGGAAAGTGATTTTTACAGTCTTGGAATTACATTGACTTAAAAGGGTGAATAAATATTGCTTAAGAGGGAGGTATGGTTGCTAGAGTTACGGACTTGGACTGAAGACCTGTGTTCAAATACTCCTTTGACCATCTGCTAGCCAAGTGATTTTGAACAGGTTACTATATTTCTCTGGGCCTTCATTTCTTCATCTGTAAAATGCAGGGCGATGGGTGAGATAATCACTACAGTCCCTCCTTTAAAGCCCATAGAATCCCCTTCTGAAAAGTCCCAACTCTGATATGAACACAGTACATAAGGATCATACCTTGAGAGATTCACTACAGTGGTGAAAAAACTGCTTTAATCCTCGATCAGTGATGGCATGGATGTCATCATGGCAGCGATGCAAAGTGAGAGACTGGGGATGACGGCACCCCAAGGTGACCAGCCAGTCGTCATTCAAGGAATGGCAGTCTGAAATGTAGATTCGCTTCCCTGTGAAAAGAAAACCCTTTCTTGGTGGCCTGGACACTCCAAGATATCAGTACCAAATAACAATTCATAGGCTCATCATTGAGTGAAATTGTTTTCTACTGGTTTGATAAATATGATGCTAGAGCTCATCAGGCAAGAAGACAATAAATTGCTGGCTTTGATAGATGAATTAGCTCTTTCAGGAAATGACTTCTGACCTTACATTCATTCATAGAAGGAGAAGGACTAGACCTGTGATTTCATTGGTATAGGGAACTCCCAGGTGTAGGCATTCCCTCCACCAGTGTAGGTTAACACGTTCTCTGCAAGTTACAGTCCTAGACACTTCCCTATAGCAGTGGTCTCAAACTCAAATAGAAACAAATTAGAGGCATACCAGCTTAGAAAACCACCAATTAACATTATCTATGTTTTATTGTATTTTTATTTATTTTGTTAAACATTTCCCAATTACAATTTAATTTGGTTCAGGTTTGATGGTCTACCCTAGAGTAACTATCACTAGAGATTAAGTAACTTATCCAAGGTCATACCCTCTATGGGTCAGACATGGGACATGAACCCAGGATTTCTTGACTCTGAGACCAGTTCTCTATCCACTATGCCATGCTGCCTCTCAGTCAATCACATAATGCTTTTTATTGCTATTTCTTTATTTATATTCTGCTTCCTTATCTAGATTGTAAGCCCCTTGGTATATGTCTTAAACTTCCACGTATCCTCAGTTAACATATAAGTCTGGCATAGTAAGCAATGAATAAATTTTTGGTGAAAGGCAACCCGATATAGTGACTTAGATTCTAGTCCTAGGCTTCACACTAACTAGATATATGTCCTTAGGGGAAGTCACCCCACTCCTCTGGGTCTCAGATTTCTCCTTTGAAAAGTAAGGGGGTTAGGCTAGACCAGGGGTGGGGAACATGTGGCCTTCTAGGTCCTCGGCTGCAGCCTTTTGACTGATTCCAAGTTTTACAGAACAAATCCTTTTATTAAGGGGATTTGTTCTGTGAAGTTTGGATTCAGTCAAACAGCCACACTTGAGGACCTAGAGGGCCACATGTGGCCTCGAGGCTGCAGGTTCCCACCCCTGGGCTAAACAGGTGAATTCTAATGTCCCTTCCAACTCCCAAGTTCTATAATTTGATGACAATGATCATTAGTGACCTGCAGGGATATTATGATGCCATTTCAAAGTAATGACAATTTCATTCTTTTCATTTGCTTTATCGGCACGAGGTCCATTATTTTCTTTAACACAGCACAAACTTTTAATGAAAAATTGTTGTGCTATAATTATAAGACTAGCACTATAATCCAGGTGTGCTGAAGCCAGCTCCAACAGCCTCTTGAGAGCTGATTGTTAAATTTTCAGTGTAAGCATTTACACCTTAGATATCAGCAAAGGCTACAAATCAGGGCTTGTTTTAATGTTTGCTTCATTGTTTAGACTTAAGAAAGTGATGGAAAAAGCAAAATTATGCAGATTAAACTTAAAAGTGTGTGGTGCATACATTCTTTCCTCCCCCCAAAGCCAAGTGTTAAATATTTACCAGAATACCACTGATTATAACAGTATTATCATCTGGATAAACATTAGGAATCCTACATAGTGGATAGACTTCTGTATTTGGAGACAGGAGGCTTACATTCCAATCCCGCCCTTGACATGTATCACCAGAGAGTTCATATCACAATTCTCTGAGGGATCTCATCATGGCATCACAGATTTGGAGCTAGACAAGATCTCAGAGACCATCTGGTCCAGCTCCCTTTGGAACTCATCTCCTCTGTTGCCAAAGCCAGAACTTAGCCAATGAATTAAGACAGACCAGTCACTTGTCAAAAAAGTTTTCCCAAAGACTTATTCTTCAGTTAGGGATTGCCAACTCTAAGAATCTGTTATTATGTGAATTTCCATGAATCCACTGAAGTACAAATATGATAGAATACCTAAGTGAAACATTATAGAAGCTGTGATTCAGGCATTCTTCCTCCCAATCTGATTGTTATAATTATTACTGATGATCAGCTGGGTTCTCTGACTTGAAGGCCCTGATAATTGGACTTAACTTTTATTACAGATCCTTCTGCCTTCTGAGGCCAAACTTCAAAAAGTTCTAAATTCATAAAAATATCTAATCAAGCAAATGTGGCTTATAAATGCTTCTTACTCCCCCCACCCCCAGAGTTTGATGAATTGCCCTGGGTGATCTTTTCTGGAGCTATATATCCCAAAAGTATCTTCCAAGGATCTTCTGCAAGAGAGAGAGCCATAAATTATAAAAACAGCAAAATTCAAATTCACCTTCATGGTTATAAAAGCAGACTTGCTAAATTCTAATCAACCCAAAAAAGTTTCTGTTCAAATAGTTTCTTCTTGAAATTGCTTTGCTCTTTGACATCATGAAATAATAGCATACGTTTGCCACCCACAACCTCTTTACTTAATGTCCAAAGCTCTTCTGAAGTCTAGTTTAGCAGAGGTTGTTGGCCACACCAGAGCTACCCACATATTCATTGTAATATCTTACTGCTGCTTAAAAAAGATCTTTGCCCTCTAGCCATCTTGCCCTTTGGCAAGAACACCATCTATCTGTATTTAAGGCAATGAAGTAGAGTAGACAGATAACCTGATTTAGGGTCAAGAAGACCTAGGCTTTGCCTCTGACACATGCTACCTCTGTGACTGTCAGCAAGTTTCTTAGACTCTTGGTGCCCACAGCCAATTCACTAAGACTAAATTACAGACTATTTGCTGACTTCTACACTGTTGTGCCCTCCACGTGCCCTGCTGATGCATTCCCTGGGCCCTCCTACATTGCTATCCATACTACCACTGTATCCTCTGGACCCCTGGATCTTGCCATCTACCCTGCCTCTATCCTCCTAAATGTATTGTCTTCCATTCTTGGAATGTGAGCTCCTTGAGAGCAGGGACTGTTTCTTTTCTATTTGTACCCTCAGTGCTTAGGACAGTATATGTAGTTCAGTGCTAAATAAAAGGGTTTTTTTTCCATTCATCTGGAGGAGAGAATGGCCACACCTAAAGTTCTCTATACCAATAAAATCACAGATTCAACAAAAGGCATTAATGAAGTGTCAAGTCAAGTCAATATCATTAGGAAGACATACTCCTTGAAAAGACCCCCATCAACTCTTCAGAGAAAAATTCGGTATGAATTACTTATTCTCCTTTGTTTCAGTCTCTTAAGCCAAACTTACATTTTATTCTTCCACATACCCAGATGACCTTCTACCTGAAGTGCTCAATGCCCTCTCTTCTTTGATCTCTTAAAGACTCCCCAAACCACATGGTATCAAAATAACTTCTTCATGCTAAATCATTTGGACAAGACCCCCACCCAGACCTCTATAAAACAACAGCCTTTCCTCTGATAATCTCATTAAGTCTCCAGAACCTTTGAAAGGACAATCACATTTAGAAAACAAAAATAAAAACAAAACCCCCAAAGCTAAACAAAGCCCCAAATCAGTTATGTCCAGAGGATTTGTATTCCTGGATAGTACATCGTGTGTGTGTTCCATGTAGCCTTAGCACACGAGCTCCTAAAATCCAGGGGCCGGGTCAGAAGTTTGTTCTGTTCTCCACATAGCTCACTATGGATACACAACAAACACACAGCTCTCCAGCCTGCATGTTTTCCAGGCGTGAGAATGCCCTGAGCACTCAGCATCTGCATCCATCTGATCCCCAGGTGTTCTTTGGAAACAGCTTCAGCAATCCGGTGGAACATTTGATCTCTATCTCCCTTAGAGACTCTGTGAGAAAATCAGCACCTGTTCGCCAAAGCTGGGTAGCCCTGTACTGGTGGGGTCTCTCCTCACATTCTGTCCTGACTTTGAGGGGACATCCAGTACCACCAATGAGCAGAGTTCACAACTCTGGAAACACTAAAAGCCAGAACACTCATCTTCTCAGGCTTTTTTTTTTCTCCTAAAGGCAGGCTGAACATTCACAACACAGAGGCTACCCTGAAGTTCTCCACGTGTATTTCCTCTATTGACAATCCTATAAAAATGTCTATTTGCGCATGTTCTCTTCCCACTGGCTGCTTTTTAAAAAGACCAGACAGACAGTGAGTATCATTCATCCCTCCCATAGGAAAAGGTAATTCTACTAAGCAAAGGGGATCCCAGAGAAGGAGGGACACAAGGACGATTCAATTCAACCAGGCAGTGCCTGACCTATTCAAAAACAAAGGTAATCTCTATCCCATATCAGGTAGATGTTAGGCCATGGTTCTTGGCCTTTTTTGTATGTGCCATGGACCCTCTTAGTCTTTTCAGCCTATAAATCCCTTAACAAAATAATGTTTTTAAATACATGACATAAATAGATAAGATTAAAAAGGAAACTATGCTGAAATATTATTGTAAATATATTTTAAGTAAGTTCAGGGAACTTAAGTTAAGCTCTCCTAACAGCCCCTTTTCTTAAAAAAAAAAAACCCTGTGTAGATTTAGAACTGTAAAGGCCCTCAGAGACCATCCCTTCCTCACAAAATAATCCCTCCCTAATTCCGTCATTTTACAGATGAGGAAAAAGAAACCCAGAGAGGTGGAGTAATTTGCCTTATGGCAGAGATGTCAAACTCAAATAGAAACAGGGACCATTAGACCATACATAAGGATCCCTGAAGGCTGTATCCCAACCTAGAAAGCCACACATGCCAATGTATTTCTTTCTCTCTCTCTCTCTCTCTCTCTCTCTCTCTCTCTCTCTCTCTCTCTCTCTCTCTCTCTCTCTCTCTCTCTCTCTCTCTCTCTCTCTCTCTTTCTTTTTCTTTCTTTCTTTCTTTCTTTCTTTCAGCTAATACATTTACACATTAAAATCAGATAGGAACTATATTTTCATCTGGTTCTCTCAGGGTTGTTGTGGGTCATGTTTGATACCTTAGGGCACAGAGGTAGTACCAGAGGCAAGATTCAAAACTGTATCTTCATTCCTAATTAAGAAAATTTAAAAAAACCATCTAATC